GTTGCCCAGACTAGTCTTCAACTCCTGGACTCAAGCAATCCATCCACTGCAGCCTCCCAAAGCACTGGGATTACAGCTGTGAGCTATCACGCCTGGCCTTTTTATTTGTTTTCTTTATGAATACATAATTATTACCCCTTAGCCCTTTCCAGGGCACCTCCCCTGACATCCGCAGCCTCCCCCATTGCTGCTGCTGCCAAAGCTCATTCTGTTCTGGGAGGTGCTCGGGTCTTCTGCTTTATCCTCCTGGCAATGGGCTACTCCACCTGAGGAGCAGACGTGGGGCGGGCGGGGGGGTGGTTGGGTGGCAGGGAGGGAGCTCAGGGAGCTGGGGCTTACCTCCTGCTTGGAGCAGAAACAAAACCAGGCACAAGTGTGGCGCGCTGGGGAAGTCTCAACACACTGGCGAGGCCTCCCCTGGCCTCAGAAAGCAGGACTAGCCAGGGCAAGCCGCTGGGAGAGCAGCCCATGGTCTGCTGACCCAATTCCCGGGGAATGGCTGAAGTTCATCTTCCCTGAGGAAAGGCTGGCCCAGATGAGGCAGGAGGCCATTTCCAGAGCCAGAAGACGAAGCAGCCAGCTGCCTGCCACCGGCACAGGCACAGGCTCAGCATACCAAGGCGCCTTTGCACATGCACTGTCCGGAGTGAGCCATCCACCCAGCCTGAAAATAATAAACTTTATTTCCATTTACTCTTTTTTTCTCAAAAGTAATTGCATTATTGTTTGCTAAAAACAAACAAACAAACAAACAAACAAACCTTGGCTTTATTAAAGGTCACTGGTAGATAAAAGTGGTATCTTGGAATTAGGCTCCTTAGTATAAAAGGAAGGAATTCAAACACACCCAAGCAATGGACGTAGCTATCCATTTGCTAATGGTTTAACAAACCACTTAAGAAACTAACCCAGATGTCCATCAGTGACAGACTGGATTAAGAAAATGTGGCACATATACACCTGTCTCTTATACACATCTAGATGTGTATAAGAGACAGGAACCTGGGAGGCGGAGCTTGCAGTGAGCCGAGATCGCGCCACTGCGCTCCAGCCTGGGCGACAGACTGAGACTCTGTCTCAAAAAAAAAAAAAAATCTATTTATCTATCTATCTTGTGGCCAGGCCTGGCCCACGGGCTTCCTTCTGGCAGTGGGCCCTGTGGGAATCTTACTGACTACAAGTGAAAGGTTCAGAATTGGAAAGCTTTTGCCAGAATAAGGGGAAGGGATAATAGGCAGGCAAAACAAAAGGTGAGTATCATACACTGAGCACTTGGTTCTGCACACAGTAGGTGCTCACCCCACAGGGCTGACTGGCTGGCCTCTGGCTGGAACCATCTGGGGAGAGAGGAAGTGGTGGTTTCACATCAGCTGTAGAGCCTCCACCAGGCTCACTTTTACATCTAGAGAGAGGGATTTGGATCCCACGCAGGTCCCAGAAGGTGACCAGGTGGTAGAGAGTGGTAAGTGCCTAGTTGCATGGAAAACTGCCCTTGGGCTCCAAACATGGTATGCCCAGAGGCTGAGCTTGGTAATGGGTGAACACTGGCCCAGCCTGGCTAAGAGAGCCACTCAGGGGCACATGGGTACCCATGCCCTGCTCTCTGCGGGCTGGCCTGTGGCCGGCAGGTGCCCAGTGAGCAGATTGTACTCCAAGGGATCCAGCCTCTTACACAAGGTATAAGATGAAGAAGAAACACAGTTTGTGTCTTTGGGAAGTTTTCAGCCCACTGGGAAAACCGTAACATGACAAGACTAACCCTGTATTTGGGGGCTTCAGCCTGATGTGTCAGCCTCAGAGGGATGGCATGGTAACCCCCTCTGTACCAGATTTTAAGCTTTATTCCCAAACCTCCTTTGCTTCCCTTACCAGCTCTTTTACCTTTGTCTTCCATGTTCCCAGTTCATGCTGACCACCTAGGCTGGTTCACTACCACCACACCTGGGAGTGAGAGAAGCCCACCTTCTCCCACTGGCTTAGCTGTTCAATTGCCTGGAGGGCATCGTCAGGCAAGGGTGGTCTGCATCTCTACTATAGATAAAGGCTCCAGGAAGCCTGGGCCCAAAATTAAAAGCGAGGCCAGACCAGGAAACGATGGCTCACGCCTGTAATCCCAACACTTTGGGAGGCCGAGGCCGAGGATTACCTGAGCTCAGGAGTTTGAGACCAGCCTAGGCAACATAGGGATGTGGAGTCCATCCAGGTCCCAGAAGGTGATGAGGTGGTGGAGAGTGATACTTGGAACCCATCTCAGTAAAGATAATAACAATTTTTAAAAGAGAGAAAGAAGAGTGAGGCTGGGTCCTGCTGCACCCCGGAAGTGGGTTTTCCCAGGCGCCTGTTTCCAAACTCTCCGTATGAGGTTGAGAGGGCAGGTAAGGGAGAAAGTGACAGTGAGCTCGGCATAGAGAAGTGACAGCAGGTCGAAGCAGGATCCTGAGAAGACAGCACGGAGGGGCCCTGAGCTGGCTGGGCAGGTGTGGGGCTATGAAGCCACACCCAGCTCAGTAATTCCCAGGGAGCTTCTGGGAGAACCTGGGCTCAGCAGTGAGATCACAGGGCCTGCTGAGGCCATATGGGTGAGGCCTCGCCCATCTTCCTGCTTCCTCTACCATGCAGTTCCTGCCTTTCCTCCCCCTTCACCTTGTATCCCTCCTCCTCCCCTGCAGCAGCCCTCCCACTCACACAGTTTAAGAAAGGCTGGTGCTGAGCCTGTGTGCACAACTGATGGCGTCATGGGCGGGGTCTTTCATGATTTTTCTGCTGCCACTGAGAAGACGGATGGTCATCTTTCAGGCAAGTTTGTAATAAACATTTAACGAATGAATGGGTTAGTGACGAACATTCGTTATCTGATTTGAACCCTTTACCAACCCTTTGAGGCAGCCCACACAGTTCCTATTAGTGCTGTTTACAGCTGGGGAAACTGAGACTCAGAGAAATTATGTGTCATCACATAGGTATGCAGTGACCAGCTGGACTCAGGACCCATGACCCTAGTTTCTGCACTAATGTCCACTGCCTGTCTCTTTCACCCACCTGCACCCTCACAGCTGCTCAGAGGGGATGACTGGAGCGAGAATAGCAAGGACACAGGCATCATGGAGGCAGATTTGACCTCACTGACTTTGGGCTGTCCAGACAGCCAATCTGGGCAGCTGTCTCTGGCTGCTGTTATGGCTTCGTCCCAGGGGCCACTCCACTTAATACAGGGACAGCATTTCAGGTCTGCCTGCCCAGTACAGTCACATCAGGAGCACCACGGCAGCCGAAGTGAAACCTGGCCAGTCATGGGCAATAACCTTTGACCTGCTGGCAGGTGGGTGTTAGATTAAATGTTAATCTAACATTAGGCCTCGCCGGCCAGGCGAGGTGGCTCATGCCTGTAATCCCAGCACTTTGGGAGGCCGAGGCACGCGGATCACCTAAGGTCGGGAGTTAAAGACCAGCCTGACCAACATGGAGAAACCCTGTCTATACTAAAAGTACGAAATTTAGCCAGGCGTGGTGGCACATGCCTGTAATTCCAGCTACTGGGGAGGCTGAGGCAGGAGAATCGCTTGAACCCGGGAGGTGGAGGCTGCGGTGAACCGAGATCGCGCCATTGCACTCCAGCCTGGGCAACAAGAGCGAAACTCTGTCTTTAAAAAAAAAAAAAAAAAAAAAGGTTAAATGATCTCAACCATGAGGCCATGGGAAATTAAGGAAAGTAGAATAGAATTCCCTGGGGGTTGCAAGTGGGAGATGCTAGGATTTTTGTGCATCTTTACTAGTGATGCCTACAGCTGAATTAGGAGAGCTCTCCTGGCACCCGAGAAAGCTTTAACCTCTGGAGTGGCCTTCACAGGAGACAGCCTCAGGGTACTGGGAGAGCCCCTGACCCTCCAAAACCTACTACCAATTCCTGCGCGCCGTTACTTGGGCATGAGGTCCTGAACCTGGTGGAGGAAGGGTAGCAATGCCTTCCATTGTATTGGTTACATGCTTTTTACAGTCAATTAATTGGTTTGATCTTTTCCAGACAGTGCAGGGCTAGAGGCTGACCTTCCCCACTCCCGACCTTGGCTTCTTGAATAA